TGACTGGTGGTGCTTTGTAAATTAACCTTTCTTTCTTCTTTTGTTTTGCTTTTGGAGGTTCTTTGGGCCATTTGTTCTTAGGACCATACAACCACTCTTTGAAACGACACTTCGCCATTGAATACACCTAAATAACGTGACATAAGTACATGACACATATAGCTCAACATTTCAACAAAAACACTTTGCACTTACTTCATGCTTGTTTGGGCACACAAACTCCAACGTATTATCAGGGTTTATCATGGCTCGGTCTCCGCAATGGCACATAGGAGGTTCTTCGAGTCGTCTAACTGCGGCTAAGTGCTTCTCCTTAGCCGTTATTGGAGGGGGGTTAGGGGGAGGTGGAACCCACCTCTCGAAGTGCTCTCGTGGATGTCGCCCTCTCCACCAATCGTCGAAAAGGAGGTACCTGGGGTCAAACTTGTCTGCACCATTGATCCACTGAAAGAAAAAACACCTCTCATGGTCCTACACAACAAAAATTCAACAAAATATTAGTAATCTAGTAATGCAAATGAAGAAGAAAAAGATAGTGGAAACAATTACTTACATTAAAACGACTGCACGTGTAGAAGTAACGAGCCGTTGTGTCCGGATGTCTCAATTGAAACACTTCGGTCGGACGACCACAATCACAATTAGGGACAGGGAGTTCAGGAGAGACGGGGGCATCTTTGCTAGACTCGTCGGCGTACATTTCTCTAGGATGATCCTGTTTTCGCCATAACTGCTCCGGAAATATGTCTTCCATCTAATAAAACGGTTCAAATTAACATCAATCAAAACAAGACAAATTAATGTAAAATGTAATCATTTGCAATGCAACTAAAATATTATAAACAATAATTATAGCAACAAAAATATACATGGCAAACATACTTCTAACTAAATAATTAACATTAACATTAACAAAATCAAACTAATATTTTCATCATAGTTCCTAAACATAATTTTCCTACTAACCTTAACTTCCATTCATAATATCCTATCCACCATTCAAACGAAATTAAAATGCGCGTCATTACCTTGAACTAGAACAAGGAGTGAGGGAGGCGGTCGGGGAATGGAAGGGAAGGGAGGGAGGCGGCAATGGAGGGAATGGAGGAGGGCCTGGCAATGCGGGAGGCGACGCCTAGGCGGCTTCTTGCTTTCGGGCAGGGGGCGTGTCGCTCATGGTCAAGATGGCAACGGCATGCACGATGGGTACGGCATACCGCACTCCACCGATCAAAAAATCTTACCCGTCGGGTTTACCGTGCACTCAGCGCGGTAGAAAAATTCATTCCATACCACACCTGACGGGTAATTCTTACCCGACAATATACCCGAGTTCACACACCAAAATATAATAGCTTCCAAAAAACAAATCAACAATAGAGCAAAGAAAATGAAAATATGGGCTGGTGGAGTGGAGTGAGGATGAGGATTAGGGTTTGAGGGAGTTCGCTCATATGCTTATATGGGCCAAATATGGGCTATATGTTTATATGGGCTAAAATTGTAGATGTTGGATATTATTTATGCGGGGGTTTTACCCAGGGGTATGCGGTATGGGTAGTATACACCCACACCCGCATCGATACCCGATGGGTACATGAATTAAATCCAATAACGTGCCGTGGGTGCAAAATGTCTTCCATACCCGCCTCTTTATCGCGGTAAAACCCGTCAGTACTCGGGTTTCGGTACCGTTGCCATCTTGAGTCGCTGGGTTATACCCGCTCGCCACGGATCGATCGGGCAGCATGCGCCGCCAAGATCGGTGGCGCGCAAACTTGCCACGCAACGTTTCCGGTCGCCACGTCGACCCTCTGCACCATGCATGGCGCGCAACATGCAAGGCATTTTAAAAGCAATAGGCGCGGTCAAAAGTGTTAGTTTAAAAAAACCGATAGTGTTAGATTTAAAATTAGTTTCGAAAAAATGTTAAAATTAAAAAAAAAATCTCCACAGCTTAACACAAAGAAGAACTTCACCAGTATTTTTACCCTGCAGAAAACCCTTGAATCGGTACTCTGATAGACGATGCAAAGGAAGGTGGTGCCTTGTGAACATTTCTGGTCCATTTATGATTTGCATCACTGGGATTTCCGAAGCCTGTGTCAGTTTCTTAAGAGTCAATCCAATTGCAGGTTTCAGTTCTCCACTACAGCAATGCATTGTTTTTTTTGCATTGATGTCAGGTAAAGGTTGTTACTACTAGATTTCTTTGACGTCTTCCATATATCAAGTATATGAACTTACCTTGCTGATGGCTTTGGTTGGAGTGAGCTCTGAAATCTCACCTTGGTGTCCACGCCTACAGTCCATTGTGGAAAAAGGGCTATGCAGCATAAGAATATCTAGTAGAGTTATTTGGAATGCTTTACATACTATTTTCTCAACAGTCAACAAGCTCATAGTCAATGGAGAAAAAAAAACAGAAGCGTAATTTCTTTGAGCCTTCTTCATTAGTCCCCCAAGTTTGATGTCAAGTTTTTTTTTCACCTTTTACTGTTCTGTTTGCTGCATTATCCATTACATTGCATCCAGACTGCATCCAGGTTCTTGTAGAGATTAATTATCAATATCTAGCTACAGTGACATGGTCAAGATCATGACGTCAGTTACTCTATCCGCTCAAAGTTATAGGTCACTTTCTTTGTCAGAAGTTAAATATGATCAAGTTTTTAGAAAAAAAAATATATTAACATCTGTAAGCTCAAATAAATGTACTGTCAGAAAATGTTTCAAGATGGGTTTAATGAATCTAATTTTGGTGTTACAGATTTTGTTGTATTTTTCTATAAATTTAGTTAAAATTAGAGGCATATGACTTATGATAAAACTGAAGTAATCTAATTTGGAACGGAGCAAGTAATTCTTTTTCCGTGAAACAGGCCACAAGAAAAGAAACAAGGAGGGTGAAATGTGATGAAAAGTAAAATCATTTTGGAATGAAGACTAAGGTTTTGTTTGAGTCTAGTAGCTGCTAATAGCTCATAGCTAATATTAGCTAACTAACTATTAGTTATTATTAGCTACTTTGGTTCAATTAGTGAGATACTTGATGCTCATAATCAGTAGTTGTTTGTTAGTACTTCAGCCAATAATTAACTAGACTATTAGTTGATCGTATTGATTTGTAATGCATTTCTTTCTGTACCCATGCTCTTTTAGGGAATTGCAAGCGGTTACAGGTACTTGATGCTCAATGTAGTGAAACAACTTTTTGAGAGGCGAATGTAGAAAGGAGAGATAAAGTAAAGAATGCCATTCTCATAGAGTACCAGGGAACCTTGTGTCTGAAGGCTATTATATCACACCGCATCCCACTTGGCAGCCACAGGAATCATGATTAGTCTTGCGTTGATTTGCTTGGAAGCAGCACTATCTCCCTTTTCGGGCCACCTTTAAATTAAACAATCTCCACTGGCCTGCACTTGCATATTCGTGTGGAAAAAAATCTCTCTCCTCTAGGCTCCAAGAAATTCACAGGTGCGAAATAAAACTGAACACTGGAAAGTGAGGAAACGCCTCACATTTCTCAAAAAAACACAGCAAGCATTTTTTTTTCTTTTAGAAGTTCCACATAAGAACTAGGAAGCTAGCTTAAGATTAAGAACATGATTGTGACTTTACTCATTTCTTCTGATCAACTAGTGTACCCTTTATTGCTTTTCCTTGCAGGCTAACATTTCGCTAGGCCACGGCATGATGATGTCGCCCTGTCAAACTAAGTAGTACGTGACAACGGTGACGTGTACCCATCTCTGATCAGTGATTACTCTAGATTTCTTCTTTTGAAACGGAGGTGATTACTCTAGAATTGTAGTAACTTTCTGCAATACTCCCTCCGTCCTAGAATTGATGACGTTATGGGATGCGTACTAGTCAAATTTTCTTAATTTTGACTAGATTTATAGAAAATACGTACAACATTTATATCTCCAAATAAATTTATTACGATAATATATTCAACGATCTATCTAATAATACTAATTATGTATTATAAATATTATTATCCTTTTATATATAATTAGTCCAAGTTTTAAAAAGTTGACTTCTCGGAAAACGAGAATAACTTCGGTTCTGAAACGGATGGAGCAGTGGACTAGTGGTTGCAACAACTCTTCTCAGGTTATTGCGTCATGCTTTCCCTAATAAAATGTCAAACAAGCAAGTGCGAGGAAACGACCACAGCACAAAGAAACACCCGGTCCGGCCGTGACACGGAGCGAAAGTGTATTCTATACCCCTGAGCCCTGATCCCAGGAAGATTTCAAGCGTCACCTAACCCGCCAGTCGCTCTCAGAGTGCCTGCGTGAAGGAGCGTGTCCAGACCGGACCTCCAAGCTGAATTGGTCCGGAAGATTTCAAATTCCGATGGAGGGATGACCGGATGAACACCAGTTGCTCTGATAAAGTGATAAGCTCAACTGTCAGCTTCAGGTATAGATGATCTGCTACCTGATCTGGTACTCCGGAGCTGGCCATGGGGAGAGTGTGTGCCGTGTCCGGAAGAGTAGGTAGGCGGCACGTGCCCCAGGTGTACAAACTCGGATCCGGTACGTGTACGTACAGCGGCTGTACAGTGGGGTGATGCACGGCACGGCAGGATTAATACCTGCAGGGGTGGGTTTGGTTGGGGCTTTGTCCTCGTACGATTAGACTAGTAGCAAGCAGTTGCCCTTGCCAAGCCATCATCACCGCTTGGCGTGGCCGTTAAGTGCACGCAGTGTGCAACCCGCTTCGTCCTCTTCCACCTTCCTCGCGGCCCCATCGGCGCGGCGGGCCATAAACATACGCGACACGAGGACCTCGATGACCATGTGATTGTGAAGTGAAGCAAGCGAACGAGCCGCCCCTGCTTTCCTCTCGATCACTTCCAGCGCCCGCCACCGCGCCGCGCGCCGCCGCCGGCGTGATACTTTTCTCCCCCTCGTTTTTCTTGTGGTTTTGCACCCAGCACCCGTGAGCATTTTCCGGGGGGCTGGTGTGTGTGTGTGCGCGCACGGATGGGGAGGAGCGGCATGTCGACGGCGAGGTTGCTCGGGGTCTCCTTCCTCTGCGTGCTTCTCGTCAGGAACTCTGAATCTGCTTCGGATGACGGTATTGCTCCTCTCCGGTGTTCTGTGTGCTGTGTGCTTCCTTCAGCTATATTCTTACTTGGTGACAAGTTGATAGCCGCTGACTGCCGTGTTCTTCTTGCGTTGCGCTTGCCAGTATCTGCGCTTCTTGCGTTCAAGAGAGCCATCTACGAGGACCCTCTGTCCAAGCTGTCGGATTGGAACTCCAAGGACAAGGATCCCTGCGCCTGGTCCGGTGTGGGGTGCTCGCCGTTCAACAACCGCGTGGTCACGCTGTAAGAATCACAAGAACTGGCCACCCTTTTTTTGATCCCTCATCTGTTTTTCCTTTCTCGCATTGCTTAAGGTCACATGATTCTAAGCAGAAGAATTCCAAGATTCTCGTTTCACAAGTGCTTTGTCTGTTGAAGCATATTCGTGGCCTTCCCTGGCTACTTGTCCAAATAGCGTGCATGGTTCATTAGCTCAGATGAAAAAGAAAACAAGGTTGCTAACCATATGCGAAATGTGATATTCCGGCCTATTTTAGAGCTTGCTCAAATGGATGGCGAACAATTATGCACTGTGGTTGAAATTAAACACTGCTGGTGGTAGAAATCTCTGCAGCAGTAGCAGAATGATGCATGTTCTCCCACAGTTAAAGTGGACAAAGTTTCTGACACCAGATAAGGCACCCAGCTGGAAGCTATCATTCACCTTTATCTACTACTTTTTATTCCTGTCTTCAGTTGACTTAACAAGCATCCACAATATTTCTCCAATTCTCCTCCTAAAAAACCATGCACATATATAGTTTTGAGTATGTGGATTTTGTGGTCCATCTAGAAGGCAAACCCTCAAGCCAGTATTTTTTCAGTTTTTATGTTGAAAGAAAAAACAAAGACAAGTGTTGTTTCTCCAAATTCAGATAGGGATTTTGTTGTTTGAACAAGTACTTAACTTATTTTTTCTCTGTTGATGAACGTCCTGTTCTCATATATTAAGTGTTTGTTATTTTTTCACTGTATAGTGAGCTGTCAAATTCATCTCTCCAAGGATTTTTGGCACCACAGATTGGATCCCTAAGATCTTTGCAAAATCTGTGAGTACTATCACTCCATGAAACTCCAATTTTAGTTTCACCTAAAAAGAATATCAACTGATAGTCTTGAGAAACTTCTTGCAGCGTGTTGGATCACAATACATTCATGGGCTCAATACCAAAAGACATCGGCATGCTAAAGAACCTGATCGAGCTGAACCTTAGCTCCAACCAATTTGCGGGGCCTATACCCAGTGAGATTGGTGACTTGGCAAAGATCACAAAAATGTACAAGAAGAGCTAGAGATCAACTTGTGCTGTTCTCATCCTTCTTCAATTTTATAACTCATCTGTTCTCTTATGCCCTAGAGACCTTCATGCAAATCGGTTGGATGGCACTATCCCTCCTGAGCTTGGCATGTTGGGAAGCCTCCTTGAGCTACGGTTGAGCAATAACAGCCTTACAGGCATTATTCCTGCAAGTAATGATTCAGACATGTAAGTAACTAATTTTCAGTGTCTTCAAAACCCCAAAGGTTGTTTTCAGTAACTGTTTGATTTTAATTAACTGTATGGAGACAAGCTAAATGAGATATGAAACAACGGTCAAACTGTGAACTCCAGAACCTTGACAGTACTCTTCTATTCAGACATCAATTGGTGTGGCATATGAACAACCAGTTATACCTGTAATACTTCTTTCAGGGAATCTGCAAACAGCAATGATCAAATTGGATTGTGTCAGCTATCTCAGCTAACCAATGTTGATCTCTCGTATAACTTTTTGGTTGGAGATATTCCCACATGCTTACAACAAATCCAAAGGTACACCTTCGCCTTTTGTGGCTTAAATGTTTCAGTTGTCTTCCTGAACTTACCTGTTTTACAGTATTTGAACAGATCAAGCTTGGTAGGGAATTGCTTCCAGAACAACACATCAAACCGTCCACTACAGCAATGTATGGCGATATTTTATATTCTAATTTTTGACATATTATAGTCAATAATACAGTTTGTTCCTCTTTTTTTTTGGCTGTTTGACACCCTTTTCCTTCGTTATTTGACAAGAGCATATACATCGATGGTTGCAAGATACAATTATTGGTTCCTGGTGAAAATCCTTGTGCTGAGCAAAATGAAAAGTTCACAAAAAAATACTTTATAAATAACAGATTGGTAAAGCAATCCTAGCATTTAATGAACTACAGTTTTTTTAGGAAGTTACTAAACTACATATTCTGTCAACTACCCCATTCGGCTAGTCTGAGTAAAGAAGTCCAACCCTTTGTTCATCCCTAGAAGATGAAATTGGGGTGCATTTCTGGGCTCGAGGACATAGTGTGATGTTGGGAACCTAACTATAGGCTGTTAAAAAATTATCTGACACTTAACAGAAAAAGTAACCCTAGTTACATTGCTTATTGCGTTCAGTTTCGGATCACTAAGTTACGGATGATTTGGGACCTGGGATAGTGTAACCTTGGCTATGGTTGTTAAAATAAAGGCCTGAACTTGACACTTTGTTTGCTTCCTTGTTGGATCCGATCTCCCACATTCTTCCTTTTGTCCTTCTGTGCTTTGATCTTTAAGGCTCCTTTTGTTTTGGTTCATGTTACATCTGAGCAATACAATATGACTCATACCGGTCTATATACTATATGCTGTGAAACTAGAACGTTCACAATGTTACTGTAATTTGCTTTTCTGAACAGTGAGCAAGTGCACTACATATTATATTACAGGTGAAACTAATCAGGACAGAGGCAAAGACAATGGTACTGATGAGAATGTGCAGAAAGGCCTGCCAGAGCCACTTTGGCTATTCATTCTGGAAGTCATCGCAGCAGTTTCATTGCTTTGTTTGTTAACACTTTGTACCATGACTGGCCTCCGAAGGTGCAGAGCTAGATCCTCTGGTTCCGGGACCAGTGTTCCATGGACAAGAGCTGTAAGCTGGAAGGAGAACACCGTAATCTCAATCGGTCAGTGCCTGCTTTTGTTGCGAGTTACTGATAGAACTGAACTTTACACTGTGTTGATAACGGGTTGCCTTCAATATAAAATGAACAGGCACGAGAGCTGCCTATTATATTGATAAAGAAGAAATTGTGTTGATTACCAGTTGTTGCTTGTGTAGATGATGACCTCCTGGTAAATGTGCCAAAGTTAAGCCGGCAGGAGCTGGCAGAGGCTTGTGAAGACTTCAGCAACATAATTGGATCGTCTCAGGAGACAGTTGTGTACAAGGGAACTCTGAAGGATGGCCGGGAAATCGCTGTTGTGTCGCTGACTGTTCCGGTGCATTACTGGAATGACTATGTGGAACTTTACTTTCAGAAGGAGGCGAGTGTCAACCAACTAAACCCACATCAAGATTTTTACTGCTGTATAATCGTATCTCATAATATGCTCGAAATGTTCAGGTGATAGAAATGTCCAGACTGAGTCATGAAAACGTTGCAAAGATGTTGGGATACTGCAAGGAGTCTGATCCATTTTCAAGAATGCTAGTCTTTCAGTATCCACCAAATGGGACACTCTACGAGCATCTGCATGGTAAGTCAACAGGCTCTTGCCTTGCTCCATGCCTCCATGGATGGTGGCATGAACTCGGTGCGTTATCTGTTTGCAGATGGAGATGGGTGGCAGCTATCTTGGCCTAGACGGATGAAGTTAGCACTCGCCATCTCGCGGGTTCTCAGATACTTGCACACTGAGCTGCAACCTCCATTTGCAGTTGCTGCACTGACGTCTAGTTCAGTTTACCTAACCGAAGACTTCTCCCCAAAGGTCTGTGTTGTATATATGCACTCCTAGACACACTGCTAAATCAAGAACATTAGTTGCTGGTAGCATAGCATCCTGATTTCTGAGCATGAGGTTCCAGTCTTAGTTCAGTTCAGATAACAACTGCAGCTGATTGCGGTTTTGCAGATAATCGATTTCGAGAGGTGGAGATATCTTGCGACAAAACCAGGATTTGACTCACTGAATGGGTCAGCCAACAGCATTACAGATTCTCGGCATAAGCTTTTCATGGACGTCCAGGCCAACACCTATGCGTTCGGCGTGATCCTGCTGGAGCTGATCAGTGGCAGAGCCTCGGTTTCCAAAGATAAAGGGGGCTTAGTGGATTGGGTAACTGCTGACTCTTCTTGACTCAAGCGGCCAAGCCTGCTCATGCTACAGCTACACTGCCTCAGGCATGAATGGCCTCAGGCTACCTGTATCTGTGATCACTGACAACGGCGTGTTTCATGCAGGCAAGAAAGCACCTGGAGCAGCCCGAGGAGTTCAGCAAGCTGGTGGACCCGAGGCTGCAGAGCGTTAACCAGGAGAGCCTGGGCATCGTCTGCAACGTGGTGAACCTGTGCATCGACCCGGAGCCGTCGCGGCGGCCGTCCATGAGCATGATCGCGGCCATCCTGGAGGAAGGCATCGAGGCGTCGGCGGCCACCTTGCTCAAGAATTCGTCTCTGGCCTGGGCCGAAGCCGAGCTGGCCATCTCCTAGATGCCCTTTGCGGCTTTGCTCGTTTGCTGCACTCGCTAGACTGTATGGTTGCTTGGACAGTGATGGTTTGACCCATTGTTACTCCGTTTGGCATTGTAATGGTTTTTTTTTCTCTTATCTGGAGAGAGAAAATGGCATAGAAATCTGAATTCAAAATGACTTTGATCAGCCCGACAAGCAGAGTTTTTTTTTATCCTTTCAAATACAGAGGGAGAGCATTTTCTTTTCTTTTTTGAGCACAGCATTTTCTTCTTTGTTGGGGTAGCATACTTTTCCGAAAAAAGTCCACGCTACCTCCCTTAACTTTCGCGAAAATCCGTTTTTTCTCCCCAAACTCCAAAACTGGGCAAAACACCTCCCCCAACTTTTAAAACCGTTCATCTTACCTTCCTGGCCCTATTATAAGCGGTTTTGTCTTTTTATTTTTTTATTTATATTCGGTTGAATCTTTGAAAAATCATAGTAAATCACTGAAAATCATAAAATAAAAAATCCAATTTTTTTTGACTCCACATGAGTAGATGAACATATAATATGGTATGCTTTAGTACAAAGTTTTTGATGTGGCTTTAGATCTATACTTTTCTGTAATTAAATAGAATAATTCGTAGCTATAGTTTTTATGGTCCAATTATGGTGAAATTTTTATGGTGGGATGCTTAAACTGTAATAAAAAATTCATACTCATTGAATCATGTATAACTTAGTTATAGATTTTATTTAGATTTATGCTTGTTAAATATAAATAAATTTATAACTAAGCTATATATGATTGAATGAGTATGAAATTTTTAGTATAGTTCAATCATACAATAATTAGCTCACCATAAAAATTTCATTACAATTGGATAATAGAACTGCAGCTATGAATTATTCCAATTAATTACATAAAAACATAAATCTAAAGTCACAGCAAAAACTTTGTACTAAAGCATACCATATTATATGTACACTGTGTAGATCTACTCATGTGGAGTCCAACAAAATTGAATTTTCTATTTTATGATTTTTCTGTGATTTACTATGATTTTTAAAGATTCAACCGAAATAAATAAAAAAGAAAAAGACAAAACCGCCTTCAAACTGCTTATAACAGGGCTAGGGAGGTAAGATGAATGGTTTTAAAAGTTGAAGAAGGTATTTTGCCCGGTTTTAAAGTTTATAAAGGAAAAGCGGACTTTCGCAAAAGTTGAGAGAGATAATGTGAACTTTTCCTTCTTTTCCTAAATCTCTTTATTCACATTTCATCGGCGGCCCACGCGAATGCGGCCTACGAACCACGGAGGCCGTAGGTCCCAAATATCCAACGGCCTGCAAAGAACAGCCCACAGATCGGCCGCAACGGGGACTCTGGGAGACTGGGAGTGAACTTTTTTCTTTTTCTTTTCTTTTCCTTTTTTTTTTTGATGAGAATATAATATGCGTCGGGGAAGGGAAGGAGCACCTTTTGCCGCCGCGTCGCCATGGCGGCGGGAAGAGAAACCGACGAACAGCTGACCGAGTACGAGAAGCAGCGGCTGTCGCGGATACGCGAGAACGAGGCACGACTCGAGGCCCTGGGCCTCCGCAGCCTCGCAGCGTCTCCTCTCCTCCGCAGCCCGTCGCCGGGGACGGCCAAGGGGAAGCAGAAGAAGCGGTCCGCCGACGAGGACGAGGAGTACGTCCCGTCCGATAACGGCGGCGGCGAGGAGGACGACGAGAGCTCGTTGGAGAGCGCGCAAGACGAAGAGGTGGAGGGAGCGGGGAAATCAGCTTCTAGGTCACGTGTCAAGGTGCGGGGCTTCCCCTTTCCTCAGTTCTATGTCATCCACTCATCCTCATTCATTGATGGGGTCTGCCGTCTAGGCGTCGCCCTCATAAATGGTGATTTTTACTGCACAATGGGGGTTTAAGATCCACTAATGAAAGGGTATGATTTGGTAGCTGCTATTATACCACAGATGTGTTGCATAATTGTTCTCACATTTTGTTTCAGGGAAAGAAAAAGAAATTGTCAAAATCTGGTAAATCTACAAAGAGCACGCGTACTAAGGGTAGTGCTTCTTTTGCTGATGTGGTGGATGATGATACAGCCTTACAGCAGGTATTGTGATAACTACGAATACACTACAAGAGCAATATTGACCCTAGAATGGCCCTCGAATCCTAAACGTTTGTGCTAAGTTTTCATTGTATGCTTTGGTTAGCACTTTAATTAACAATGATACAGGCAATTGCTCTCTCCCTTGCGGAATATTCAGAAAAGCCTGTGACTGCATTGGGTGCAGAAACATCGAGCACAGTAACAGGAGCGAGTGAAAGTACTCCACACAAGAACAACAGCAAAGCATCAGTTCAGGACTCAGCTAAGAACAAGAAGATTAAAAAGCTGGTACGTCCCTTCAAGCTTGAGTTGTATCAATTTCACTTGTGCCATGTATGTTTTACGCACTCGTTTTTCCCCCCAAGGGTAAGAGCAGGATTCAGCTGACAGAAGATGATGTGGTTGCATTCTTCTCATCATTTGACGGTACTCTTATCTGATACCAAAATTCATTTTCTACATGTCTGACCCATCAAATGTGTTAAATATTGTTCATTATTCCAGGATCTTGTCAAGTACAAGATCTTGTTAAGTGCAATGAATAGTATTTTCATGAAATGTAATGAACTCAAAGTAACTTGGTTTCAATCCACGTTATTTTAAATCTGCTTTGGTGCGGATGTTTTTAGTCTAGTTTGACCCTCTCATACTTGTTTGCAGCTCATAGAATTAGCCCCACGCGCAACCCCCAACAACACCGCCCCCCAAATCCCCATCTGCTTATGGATCAGCTGTAGGTTTAGATGCAAGATAGAAGCTTAAACCAAACCTAAAACTAGCATGATTCTGTTTCTAGTCTTGTTTCTAGAGAAGGACCATGACCATGCCGCTATCGTAATATGTTGGTGCACACAGACTTGAAAGGAAAAAATGATACACCTTTCGCTTCATTGGTTGCTTGCAATTTAATTTCTGCGGAAGCTGGTAGGAATATTTGCGAACTTACTTTGGTCTACAATTCATTTATTGTGCAATATCTGCCAAGAAATGATAGCAACAGGTGGTAGTACAGTAGTACTGATGTATATCATGAGTCAAACTGAAATTACTAGCCTCGAAATAGCTTCTCTGGGTATTTGTTCAGAGGGAAATGGATATAGTTATCTAAAGAGCAAACTGATGATCTATACACTTTTATTAAAAATGATTGATACACTTATTGCTTATATTTACTGCATGCTCTGTACAAAAAAAATATCATTCTTAGTATATTACTTGTGGAAATAGTACTGATTTGTTCACATTTTGTTTCTCAGAAGTTGGTAAAGGATATATTACCCCATGGGATCTTGAAAGAATGGCTACAATAAATGATTTCATCTGGACAGATTCTGAGATATCTAAGATGATCCGTTGCTTTGATAATGACGGTGATGGAAAGGTTTGTCTTCGATTTCCTCTCAAGTTTAAGTATCAATGTTTTTATTCGGAACCCACTTGCGATTTGCTAACATTCACTAGCACCTGAAAATGAACCAGAACTGACAGTTTTGTTTCCTCGTTTTTATTTGCCCATCCAAAGCAAGTTGATTTGTATGTATGAAAACACCCTGGATCACCATGAACCCGCTGAATCTTCAATTCAATGGATATCAGTCTCTTTAGCTTGTCAATTTAATCAGACATTAGTTAGCATTGTGGATGTGTACTACTGATTCCTATATACATCTGTTCATGATTGCCAATGTTGAACAAGCACTAGAAATATAAGGTTTCTTTTCAACCTCCAATTCCACTATACTTTCTCCCCTATTTTCTTACATCTTAATTTTGCTGCTCCACAGATAAACCTCGAGGATTTCCGCAGCATTGTATCTCAATGCAACATGTTGCAGGAGCATGAGAAGTGAGGATGACGAGTGTTGCTGGTCTGAAGATGCTTGTACTCTAGTTATGCATGGCCCAGCCTGTGACATTGCATCAACATTACTGGCATAGCGGGGGGACATAAAGTGAGGCAATGAAGCCCATTTGTGTTTTCCTTTTAGCCATTCAACAGAACCTTTTTGTTGTTGGAGCTTGTCAAGTCCAGTTGACCAGGGATTTATGATTCTACACGACTGTTCTTCTGTGTAAACACTAGACTAACAGATTCTGAAAATGATAGTTGCTGCGATCGTAGCTTTTAAAGTTTTTTTTAAGAGGTGCACTACTAATACCTTTAGGTATCACCTTTTTTCTATGGAGAAGTTGTGTCAGAGAAGGCCATGCGCGAATTGGACGATTTCAAAGTTTCATACATTGTTTTATTTCGGGTTCTAGTAGTAATTATCTTACGTCCACCTTTTTTTTTTGGAAAGATGTATCCGTTCTGCTCACACATTACGGTGTTTTTTTTCTGAAATGATATTGAAGTACATCACTTTGATGATTTTTACGGTTGATAAACCGGCTGATGTTGTTTTGTTATGAGAGAAAAACAATGTACCATGGTTGATAAGCTAAGCTGATAATTTCAAGTGAACAGGGTAGAACATGGGTGTCCTGCTTTAGATTGACTTGACAAAGTGAAACGGTCCTTTTACGTATCATCCGGATATGCAGTGCTATGTGGCACTTGATCTTGGACGTCCGTTGCTTCACTGAATAAGCGTTGGGGCGAAGTTGTAGCGTCGTTCTTGACGTCTCGCCTCCCGATGCGCGGTTCCGCTTGGAAACCCACCCCACTGGGAGTCGTGGGTGGCGTCGCACGGGCGCGTGGCTATAACTTCCCCCACCGTGGGAGTGGGAGTTGGACGGACGCCAAGACTTTGCGGCTATAAAAGTGGAAGACTTTGCGCCCAAGACTTTGCATGCAGTCATATTAACAAAATTAATGTGTCTAAATCATGATTATTAAATAAATTTTAATTCCAAGATCCAAACAGGGGCCTAGTGAAATTTCAAAGTCATATAAATATGCATGAAATAGGATGATAATTCTTTCCGAACGACTAGCCTCCGGACAGACGCCCCGTTGGGCGTCCGGACGTGACTCGCTCTAATAGGCGCGATACCAAGCCGCACACAAAAAGGAGACCGCGACGCCTGTTTTTGCGCCCCCACTGTGTGGACCCCGCACTACTTCCCGTCCTGATTGCCGCACCCGCACGCCAGTGGGGTCCCAGTCACTTGCCCCGCCTAAAGATGCGCGACGGAGGCGTCTGCCGATCCCCAGTGCCAGATAGTGACCCACAATGGCACCCAATGACAAAGAAGAAGAAGAAGCACAAAAGTCGATGTCTGACAGCCACCAGCGCTATTGCAACATGTGCAACACTTGATCTACTTTTACAACATCAAGATGAAACACTTGCAACATACGTATAAAACAGATAAAACACTTGAAACATACTCTTGAAACATTTGTGTATAACCATAGCAACGTATGCAACATCTAGATCTACTTTTGCAACATCCAAATGAAACACTTGCAACATACTTCTGAAACACTTGAAACATATGCTTCAAACATGCGAGTATAGCCATAGCAACATATGCAACATCCAGATAAAACACTTGAAACATACGTCTGAAAACACCTGAAATGCTTGAAACATATGCTTGCAACATGCATATCTTGTCATTGCAACATATACAACATCCCAGATCTACTTTAACATCCAGATGAAATACTTGAAATGTGTTGTCACCTACGGCCACAGCCTATCTGGTGGGGAACTGTGATAGTCAGTAAGCTCGGGTCAGGGGAGCGTCGAGAACAACGATCCAGCGTACCCCAGCGTGGTCGCAGGCCTCCCCTTCCTGCCACGATGTCTTCGGCCAGCCACGAAAAACGATGTCCAGACCGGCGCCGGGGTGGTGGTGGCACGGTGAACGTCGTAGCCGCGACGGGCGAGGCAGACTAAGGCCCGGCAGGGGATGGGGCGCACGCGGCAAGGGATGGGGCGCGGCAAACGGCGTAGGATGGGGGCGCGGTGGGGGATGGCCGCATCGGTGAGGTGGAGTGGGGTGGACGGCGGTGATACAACGCGGTGAAGCCACGACAGGGCAAGGCGGAGTGGGGAGTAGGGGCAGATCCAGCGTGGGGGCTGAGGGGCTCCAGCACCTCCTACCCCCTATCCCCTATGTTGTCCATAGACCCCCTATGGAGCTCCTCTAAATTTGTGGCCATGGATGAAGAGGAAGGAGAAAGAAGAGGAGAAAGGGGAAAGAAGAAGAGAAAGAGGTCCGCGTTTTTTGTATTGTTTTAGCACTAATAGGATGATATTTGATAGTCAAACAATAGGCCCATAAGCATTGAGCACGCTTTGTTGCCTGCTCGAGTAATTGGGCCTGGCTCAATAGGTGCAAAAGGTGCTTTGGGCCTAGCTCCACCGAAACGAGAATGGCAGACATGTTTTTTTTCCCAAGACAGGCTTCAAATAATAAGATAAGATGATTAAGAGCTATAAAAGAATAGTTGCACATAACAAATATTGTGATAATTATTTGTCTAGTTTTATCTCACTCAATATGTTCTCGCGCGACCAGCTATACAATATCCAAACTCGGCTAGGCTAAAAAAAAAGCATGACAATGTTGCTTGGCCAGGCCCAGGCTAATCAAATACAATACAATACAATACAATACAATACAGGCAACCAAACATGGCAATGTTGGGTTCGCTCGGCGCCTCGGCCTGAGCCTGTCCACCGAGGGTTTGGCTCCCACAGCAGGCTAGGCTTGACTGTTACACAAACCAATCAAACCCTAGATGCCTCATGCCTGAAAGGATTTAACCTCAATGGTCGACCAAAAAGATATCATTAATTACCCAGTTTCTTAGTTGCACACACTAACATAACAGCTAAAACAAGATTAAGGACACAGACTTATTGCCCGACAGCCTGTGTGTGGTGACTGGTGACTAGCCATCCCAAGCACGCAACTACGCAAGACACCAGATGAATATGGTATGGAGTAGCAGTGTACATGTGAAAAGTGCATTAGAAAATATAATATTGTGAGGAAAACCGGTCTAACATGACGCCGAGTCACACGAGATCATCTATCTCTTCATGATATATCCTAGTAGCATTCCCAGGAGAGCAATGGCCACCACGACCACAAAGGAGAATCCACCATTCTGCTTGCTGACTTCCCTCCTCAAAAGGTCCTATTGAGATTCAGCAAGACTTTTTAGTTACATATTCACTATTTTTTCTACATGCAGAGCTAGTTATGGATGCAATATAATAAGTTTGCCTAGAAAATCATGTATATCACCTTTGTGAACGCACTGAGTTATGAGCCTAAAGAAATGTAAATAGATGCATACATATATGATTGTAAAGTGTCAAAAATAAGAAGGAAAAAGGATTAGAGATGAGTTCCCGATGAAAATATAGTATTCAAATTCAAAATAGTCAGATGTGTGGGCGTGGAAAGAGCTAATGTTTCCCAGGGAAAAATGCACATATAGCAATGAACCTCAACTACGGGGAAAAATAATCTGCTCCAATGGAATAGTAGAGCATGTGCAAAATGTTTGCATAAAGATAGAATGCACTAACCAGTTCCTCTCGAAGCTTATTGTTCTGCTGAATAGCAGAGTTTCTCTCTTCTGTCAACTTTGCAATCAAAGCAGATGTCTACACAGAGAACAATAGGGATAAGGTGCCTTATTCACAAAATGCAACTCAAATGTTGAACTGAACCACATTAACTACTTTGTGAGACGAGTTAACAACAGTGCTAAGATCTAATAATAACGCTTAATATTTTGTGAGACCAACTACATCAGACAACTTCACAGTTCACACTAACTACAAAGGACCAATGGGCAATGGAGATTGCATAAATCAATATCAATCTTGAGGTGGATGCATACAAGGGCCATGTCAAAATATACACAGGAGCATGACAAATTGAAAATAAGGATAAACTGAAGCTAGAAACATCAATCAACACAGCAGCACCCTGGAAACCTAACCAACTCCACTGTATGGATGTTAATGCAATGTGCTGCAATCTTGTGCAGGTATAACATATTAACATGTACAATGACTGAGCAGGCTAGAGCATAAACATAGTTAATAGTAGCTTATGTATCTCCTTGCACAAGGATCTAAATCAAAATCCCAAACTTCCAATAATACAAAGGACTATTAAAGTGTGCATATATTCTAGCCCAATGGTATAGAAAAGCAGAACATCATCAGTTTTGGATAATTGCTATCAACCTGTTGTAAAGTGGTTTCAGGTTTCAATACAGGTTCTTGATAGAATTCTATCACACCACGTGATGAGGCTTAAGCTGCTCAATGTCACTTTTTATAAATCTGACGAAGGTACATAATATATACTAAAATCATTGACAGGTGCCACCATGCCACACAAAATTTACCAAGTCAGTCTCAATATCTCATTAGCATTTGAACCAGCACTCCTAACTTCAAGGTGTAAGTGTGGCTCTCTAAAATATTAATCATTCATAGTTGTAAAGCACATGAGCTGCAAAATTCTGTAGATAACAGCTGCACTAATTCCAAATATGTGATGTTTAGGTACCATCAGCTTAGCAATGGTCCTGTTCATTGTAGTGGTCAACCAGTCAATTGACACTTTTTTTGTAAAAAAAAAAGCACAGGTTTTTATCCCCAGCCCCCAAGGCACCTTGAGATTAATTTCAATGGAAGATTCAAGTGCAAGCTTCGTTAAGATTTGATTGAAACACACACAGAGGATACATTAAGATTGCCTTTACTGGAGCTCACCTCGGAGGTGTAGTCCTCTTGATCTTTGTGAGTTTTAACAGCCTGTAACCAGCAATGAGCACTGAGTAAGTTTAAATTAGTCTGAGAAAGAGAAGTAATCTGTAAATGTGCATGAATGTTAAGATACTAACGGAAAACAGTGGCTCATCAGA